AGGTGTACGTAATTGGATTCGTGTTCATTTATTCTTGGTTCCTTTGCTACTTTCAAATGCTCGGTCCGGCGATGGGATGGAACCTAACCTAACCCCACGATTAAGAAGCAGGAGTGAGATGTTCGGTTTGTAGATGTTTCCGTAATGTGTTTTTAAATAACAAGAGAAAGAGAAGTTCAATCCTTCCCTACCAAAATTGTGCAAGTTGACGAAAACTTGTTTTAACGCGTTTTTAGTGAACAGACTTTGAACTATGGACCACACCGTTGATGAGGTCTGGTTTTCAGAAACCCGGGAAGTCGTCACAGCTGTCAGCATCAGGTTCTAACCCCCATCTCTGACACCTGAGAGGTGCACGTACAATTATGAAACGATCTCAAAAGAAAACTTTGGAACTCGCAGACAGACAGCCTACCTAAAATGCGTATGAGATTTTAATTCTTGGTGTAAACAGAAAAGTTTCACAAACAAGAAAAAAGACAGAGCCGTACAATTCCATTTCCTGACATCTCGAGTTTTCGATTCCAAGTCGAAGATAAAATCTTCCCATTACAAACCGGTCATGTCGCATTCAGAATCCAGTATAATGAAAAAGACAACGGGAAATGAGTTTGGATGGGAGGTGGAGGGGTATTCTATTTCGCTAGCCTACTTCGTAAACTGCCTCTGACTACCGTCGCAAATTTGTGAGCTGACTGCCCGTGGCCGATAATCGTGTACATGAACAGCTTTAAAAGCATGGCATTCGGCTGAGGTCCTCGCTGCATTAGAAGAGAATCGATCAACCGCACGCAGGACAGCAACGCTAATTAACCCTCTGAAGGCGAAATTAATATATTTAAGAATTCGGTCCGTACCGCAAAGAAAACATATCACTTCACCGTTACAGAGATCAAATGGTTCACGACGTTTAAGGAAATAATCGCTGTTTATTAAGAGAATCATACGGGCAGGTCGCCAGAGATCGTCTTTTCTCGAACCCCACCAATTTAGAGATTCCGAGCGTACGACATTTTCGGCCGAACACAGCCACAGTGAAATTACAAACTGAATGAAGTCTGGTTCAATACTTTGAGAAGGCTTTTTTTTACTCACCTGGTAATAACATAGCTGCAGATACTCGTACGGCTTCAAGACTTCGAATTCTTTTTGAACGTCTTTCGGTAATCCGTTCAGTCCGCCTTTGGGATTATGTCTGCCGCACTTCAATAAACATAACGTTTGCCTGACCGTCTTCTCAAAAAACTGAAGATCGTCGATGTTTTTCTGGGCGATGAGTGTCCGCGATTCATCTCCCTCTTCGTGACACTTGATTCTGCAGTTCACGGTCGCCTGTTTCAGCGTGCGGTAGACTGACAACGCACGTTCAAAATTGTCAATACAATCTTGCCACCTTTCCTCCAAATATGCTTCGACGCCATCACGGTACAGTGCGTCACAAGGCCTGTCTGTTTCTGAAACTACCGTTTCAGACGAAACACGTCTCTGTACCAACACGCACACGCATAGAATCACGTACACACGCATCTTCTCCGACCTCACGCATGCTCTCGGCTCTACTGACGCTGTAACCATGGTTGCTAGTGATTAGTTCCCTGGTCTAACAGCTGGGGGCGTCAGAGGCTGTTGGCGGCCGCTTTTACAGTCCTCAGACTCCGCAGATGACCTCGCTGGTCTGCGTTGTTGTCGCTTCTCTGTTCTCCGCTGCTTTTGTTAACGTGAAACGGAAGTATAAGGAAACGTCGCGCACAATGTTTGTTGTTGTTGTTGCGCGGCCCTGTCTGGAGTCAAGAGCAAACGTTTTCAAAATTCCAAGTGAAATACTCAGTGAGATCGGTGTGTTGTTTCCCAGCACTATACATTTGCTCCCCGCGCTCTGCAAAGGAGAGTTTAAACACTTCTGACTCCACCATCCATCGCCCCAACTCGCCTGCCTTCCAAGAATGATGCTGATGTCACAGTTCTGTTGGTTTCATCGTAGAACTGGATCCACCGATTATGGCCGCTGACCTTGTAGGAAGTGCCCAGTATGCGGACCGCTCAGTGTAGGAAGGAAGGAGTTTCCGTCTGTCAGTGCAGAAGTGTAGAAGCCTGATAATTGTCGTCTTGTGACTGAGCTGTGTTAACAAGATGCCACCTGTTCGATGCAATCTCCTTTCTGGTCGTTGATAACGCCTCGTATCAAAACACTCAGACAGACAAACCACCGACGTCTTACTCAAAGAAGGACGAAATGAGAGCCTGGCTTTTGGAAATAAACATCCCGTTTTGTGACGTGTTGAAAGATCAATTGTACGATTTAATCAAATTAAATTAGTCAAAGAACAAATATCATGTGATTGATCAGATTTTAGCAGACAAAGAACGTACTGTGCTGAGACTTCCGCCGTACCATCCCGATTTAAAGCCCATTGAACTTATTTGGGCAGATTTAAAACAATGGGTTGCAAGCAAGGACACAACATTTAAAATTAAGGACGTCGAGCGTCTGTGTATCCAGAGATTCGAAGAAATTGGACAAGAGGAATGGGAGAATGCATGCAGCAAGAAGGCGTAATCGAAGACGCTATTGAACGCATTATAATTGCAGATAATGGAGTGGACAGCAGCAGCGGAAGCGGTGAATAATACGACAGGTTAGGTTAGGGGCAGGTTTAGTTAAGTTTGTTTAGTGGATTTTGTTAGGTTACGTAACGTTTTGAAAATCTTTGTGACTTTGGACACTTATGGCCACAATTCGTTACGCCGTTCCAGTACGTCACATCTAGTCACGCTTTGTCACGCTTAGATACAGATTTGAAAATCATCTTCGTATTTACCACTTATGTTGACCTCTCGTCTCGCCTTTATAGCAGGTCACGCCTAGTCGCGCGTTATCACTCTTGACCATGTTAATGCGTAGGTAGACCAGCGTTTCGGATACACAAGCTGTTTACTTTTTCAGTATGGAAGACTGTAATCGACATCTTCACCGCCGTGGGAATCTCATGTCTCGGGTGATGATGAATTATTTTTCTACATGAAGTCTTCTGCGTATTAGAACATTTTCATCTGCACTTGGCACTGAATTAGATCGTGGCGTAATTTCCTGTGTTCTACTGTTCAGTTATTGTGAAGGAAGTTGCACGTTGCATTTGTAAGGGGAAGAGGAGGTGACGAGCAGCTTCACGAAATATTGTGATGATCAAATAAAGTGGTTGAAAACATGGGTGGGACACGGAGCTCGCATCTGTGAAAAGAAAAATGCACACCGAATTTTGATTCAGAAGCCTCAAGGGAAGAGATCACTAAACATGCATTTTATGAAAGTTGGTGTTAATGGTGTTGATGATTCACCATCTGCAGGCTACTCAACGTTCACTTGTCGATAGTGGACAGATTGTGTTGTTCCGTGTTGCAGTTATTCTACTCAGTTGTAAGGACCGAGTACAGGTTTGGGCGGGGTCCGGCCATATTTGTACAGCCGCATTGGTGACGTCACAAGGAAGACTGGACTGAGACACTTTCTTCAATGTCTGGAGTGATGTGCTAACATGGCGTAGTCTGTACTAACAAACAGATGTTTACGTCCAGTGAACTGTGTGAGACTTCTTCATTGACGCTACCTGAAGAAACTGTTGTTCTGACAGAGGCTTTTCATGTGTTTTAAGGGGTTAATAAATAATTAAGCATTCTTGCTGTTGTTTCACAGTCATGACGTATTTAAGAATCAAGTTTCTGGTGTTTGGAAACATACAATAATTTAGTGTATCCTACTTCTTGTAAAAGCAAGGACAGAATATCTGCTTGATCACACAAAGTTTCTTTAGAGCACGGCTCGACTGTATTGGACTTTTCTTTAACGAATCAGTAATTAATTGCTCAACGAGTTCATGACAGTGTAACTTTGTTAGTTGTTACATTTCTTTAATGAGTTGTTTCAGACTCGTTGAATGAAATCCTCCTTCCTCGTTCCATCGCCTGCGAAATAGACCGTTTTATCACAGGAGGTGTCTGGAGCTCATTTATTTTAACTTTTTTCGAAATGTCTTGTCCACATTTAAACTTAATTATCAATTACGGGATTCATTTGCTAGAACGCCCATCTGGACTTTCTTCAAGTTTTACGCCCTTATTTACAGAAAGACTGGAAAGACAGTTTAATTTACATTTTACTGGAGTTGTAAATTCACTTAAGTTTTTTGTGAGATTGAAAGAAATTCGTTTGCTGCATCACAGATAGGCCTTCGGCTTGTCAGCCCATATTACAAGGGCTCCTGAAACACGTGATGCACGTAATATGAGACGAAAGTGGGCAGAAAACGTCCCGTTTCTAGACCATCACCTGCCCTCGGAATTTTCATTCCAGAGGATACTTCGCCGCGTTGCTCAGTCAGTGAGTCACTTTTGCAGAACATCTGAGCGACATTATTCGGCGGTATAACATGGCGAACCATAATTGATATCTAGCAAATTAATACAGCTAGAATTTGTGTTCGGAAGGTTAAAAAATTCTGCCAACTTCGGTCACTTTGGGGAGTTTTATGGTTTTTTTTTAATGTCTTCATGCGTCGATCCCTTTAACCCAAAGAGAGCCCCCAGTACCACTGGATATGATAACCGGGGGGGGGGGGG